CATCTTACACCTTTTAATAGGAACATTGACAGGGAAATAATATAATAGCCAATGCTCAGCAAGAGGTTTTCTTTTATAAAATTTTGTTGTTGTTCTTGACTTAATTTTTATTTCATTACCTTGTCTCCATAGTTACTATTTGCAAATAGTCAATAATATTGTAGGTCCATTTTATTGTTGTTCTTTCTACTCGCCATTATAATGCATTTTCATATCATTGTTTAATTTCTGTTGTGCATATATTGTTGTATAGAAGATATTTCAAAGTGATTCACCAGGTGGAAAACGAATAGATAGATAGAAAAACCGATATGTGGCGCCATCTAGTGTACCTAAATTAATCTAGACATTTTCATAAAAGTAACCCGAAAAACGGGGCTAACTCAATAACCCGTGGCCTGATTTTAATGAAACATGTTTTATTCTGTTTCTATTCTCATTTCATTACAAACATGGCAGTATTGTGCATCGTTTTTGCTGTATTTAATTACAGACAAGCCCACAAACAATCTCAGAGTTTTAGTAGTATATAGATTCATAAACTTGTCTTCCTTCTTTTGTACTACAGAGTTTGAGCTCGAATTCTATACACACAAGTGATTATTTCAATTATCTAAATAAGTTTTCTTCATATTGAATTACACTGAATTATAGAAGCTGTAATTGCATATGTGAAATCTACAGACTGTACTTGATGGTATCATAACAACTGTAGCTACATAAGCAGCTCAATTTTCACAATGCCTTCAATTTAAAGAGAGAGAGATGCAACGATTACACACATCATACTTATATATACCACGAATGGAATGAAATATAATACTTTGGTAAACCATAGACAACCTTAAATGGAATAAACAAATAGAAATAACTTCCAAAAAATTGCTAGAATAGTATATATATTATGACATGATGTAAGAAAGTGTTTCCACTTCGAGCACTTTATCAAATTTACTATGCCATCTTTTATAGTCAAATGACTTATTGTTCAAGTGTTTAGGGTACAAATTTCTATACATTAAGACCAATCTGGTTATTACAAAAGAGAGTCTTAAGACTAATGATTGGTCTTCCATGTAGAGCATCTGTGACTAACAAGTTTATTTATGAAGCCTGTGTTTACCGATTCATTTGTACTGCAAAGGATATTACAATATTTAATTCTGATATGAACTTGTTAACTCCCTCTGGTGAACATTTATATTCCTTTTGGGAACAAAACTCTACATATGTCCACAAAGTAATTCCTTTTTGAGCTCCAAGTACTTTTATTATTTGGTTCCAATTATTCTAAATAGAATTCCATTAGATGATTTATTAACTCACAGTACTAAGTTATTTAAAATAAAAATGCCCAATTATGTATATTCTAATTACTCTATGTTTGGTTTAACATATGGTTAATTATTGTGTATAGTTGTTTTTGTATTTTATGTTTGTTTTCTATAGTTACTTATCCATTATGGCAATAGCTTTATGAATTAATAAAAACACTACTCACCTTCAAGGTGTTGTCCTGACGAGGAGCCAGATTTTGACTCATAATATTCAATGCTGCTTGATCTAGTTCTTTAATACAAGCACTTAGCTTCTCAATAGCTTCTTCACATTCTTTCTGACCAGGAGCTTTATCTCTAAAAACAAATGGGATAGACTTTTTAAATTTGAATTATAAACCATACAATCTTACACACACAAAAAAGATCAAATTAACATGTTAGAATTATTTTGTTAGACTTCAAATACCTAACTTTTATAAACAATGAAACTCTGACAGTTTACTTTCAGAGGCAGCTATTAGACAGTAGATTTTTTGCCTGTACCATCCAAAAATTGAAAAGTATTAAGCATGGTCTTTATGTCAAGACTAAGATAAAATACATAAAGAGACCAAATGTTGTGTCAAAAAGAAGTAACCTATGAAAGAAATTGGTAAAATACTATAACAAGAATTGGTAACATACAATAAAAAAAATTGGTAACATATTATAATAAAAATTGGTAAAATACTATAACAAAAATTGGTAACATACTATAACAAAAATTGGTAACATATTATAATAAAAATTGGTAAAATACTATAACAAGAATTGGTAACATACGATAACAAAAATTGGTAACATATTATAATAAAAATTGGTAAAATACTATAACAAAAATTGGTAACATATTATAATAAAAATTGGTAAAATACTATAACAAAAATTGGTAACATACTATAACAAAAAGCAGCATCAAACTGAAAAAACATAATATTCAAATGCAAGGAGTTTGATATTATTTTATGTCATAAAAATTTAAATTTTTCTTCACTTTATACAAGATTTGCTGTAATATACAAACCTTGAAGAAAATAATCATTATAGAAATGAGAGTAAAAGATATAAATAATAATTTCAGTTAGCTAACATTTCATACTTTATGACACAGTCACTTTTCTTATTCTATTCTTGAAATCTAAACACCAAGTCAAAAAATCAAACAGAACACATTAAAATACAAATTGGATAAATTCACAAACACTAAAAGCAGAATAAGCTAAACTTTATAATTAATTAAACAAAAGTGTATTCTAAATATCTGTTTAATTTTGCAACAGTACAAAATGGCAAACTTTTTTTTTTACCTACAATGGATTCTGAGACACAAGGTTCATAAAGACTTTGCAAAAGAAACTTCCAGGACCTTTTTCAGTGCCAAGATTAAAATTTTCAGAAATTTTGCATCCTGCTACACAGGAATGAAATGGCATTTTCCCAACATTTTTTTTCATTAATTGTTCCACCAGTGAAGACTGAAAAAGTCTTGGTTTTGAGAGAAATGAAAATTCACAATGGCCAACACAAAATATAAGCAAACTCACTTCTAATAATCAAACTTTAAAGAACTTAAAAAACATGTTTTTCCAGGACTTCCAGTATTGAAATCATTATAGCTCATTTTCATAACTTTCCAGGACTTAAAGGACTAAGAGAACAGTTTTATATAATCAAATTAATGTTTTCTGCATTCTCATAAATTAATGTCACAAAAACCTGTACTGTTACTTACTTGATGGAAGTGACCAACTTCTTAATGGCATCTGAAACATTCTTACTGTGACTGGCCAAAGTCTGCCATGCAGGAGGGTCTTGAGGGTTGAGAGCAAGGGACTTAGCTGTTTGAATCATATTACATGATCCATCAATGATAGATTTACCAGCTGAAGTAATGGGCTCCTGAGCTGCACAAGCCTAAATTTTAACAAATTGATTCTGACATTTACACCATAAAAATTTAATCATTTGTAACATAAATAGTTTGATCATATGATAAAGAATATAGATAATACAGAAATTATAATTAACATTTAACAGGTAAAGAAGCTTTAAATATCACTAAAAGTTAAAGCTATAATAAGGGATGAAAATGGCCAGATTCGGAAAGGTCTGAAAATCTAAGCCAGAGTGACCATCACACTCAGTAGATTTCCATCATGTAACAGACTATTTGAAGTATTTTTAACTACACATAACCAAATTACTGGTATATTGTTTTCTATTTTATAAAATAGAAAAATGCAACACTAAAACATCACTTAATTGATAAGGTTGCCATGGTTCAATGCCTAGTAAAAATATCCTATTTCTGCAATTTACATTTTAGAATTAACAGTACAAGTATCACTATATCGATTCAGAAATTACATATAGATATGTTTTCTAGAAAGCAACTAGAACATAAGATACTATGTCATTAGAACATGGTCACAGTGGTCATGCTAACTCTTATGTTCATGCATTCTAAAACACGTGCCAAAAATATCTGCATCTCGTCTTTTGGGAGTTGTGCTCAAGTACTTAACCACTGTTTGCACAAAATGAATAGAATCATATCAATTTTGGAGATAAACTATATTGGACTATAGGTAACTCCATGACCTTTTGCACTGATTCTTATAGTTGCCAAAATGAGATCATCCTGAATTATATATCAGTAAGGATTTACATTTTGACGAATATTTATGATAATTTATACTGGTGATTCAATTATTTGTAAGTGTTCAAACAATATGAAATCAAAAATATATGATTTATGTCAATTTCAGTGCAATTGAACTTAAAGTGTTGAATGTATTGTTCACAGATTTTAAGAAAATGCTGATCTCGTGTTCTAAACTTTGCACACATGTATGAATCACCTGCTCATTTGAACATGACTATTTATCAGTGCTATAAACAAATACAGATCTGTACTACATCTCACTTAAAGCCAATAATAACTTATGTAGTTCACTAGAAGAAAAAAAAAATGCTTAATTAAGATTTAAAATCGACTTGCATCAAATTTGATTTAACACGTAGAACTATTGTTTTCAATAAAAATTGGTTTTTCTTTAACCTATTTAGAAAAATATTACTTTAATGATTCAAAACAAAATTCTATCACATTTAATTAATACAAGTTGTAAAACTGGTTTTTCTTTTCTTAATACCTAGATTTATTTTTTAATTTGAATTCAGATTTACAATAAAAGTAAATACTGAGCGGCAAGACTGTATCATTTGTAGAACTTGTCTAATGATTAATGTAAAACAAAATGTGAAAGTTATTTTATTATTCTTTATTTTACCTAATCTAACCTAAAAAGATTTTAATTTTTACATTTTAGTTACTTTCATAATCATAAATAAAGAATACACATGAAAAATGATGAATTTAATACCTTGGTCATTTTTTGTTTTTCTTGTTGGCTGTTGATGACACTTAACCCTCCTTTTTTTTATACTAATGGTACTACTACACTAAATAATTTTATTTAACCCTATCACCCTGCGTATCTTTTACTGCGCATTACAAAAGGTTTTAGTGTGTTACATTCAAATTTTATTAAACCACTGTTTTTTATGTTGTACCAATTAGAATAGCATAAAATCTGAGCTAATAATCCATATTTTAATAGTATACAAGTTTTAAGTTCTTAGTAATACAAGGCAATATTTTAAGAAACCCTGAATTTCCTGTAGTGTGACTAAATGTGCAGCATTTATAAGTTTGTGTTATTAATCCTCTCAAATAGCTTAGCTGACAATGTGTCCATTTCCCTTATAATTTTTAAGAAAATGAAAGTCTTTCAGAATCTGTTCTGTTTACCTTTGGACTAATCTTTGCTGGTACACTTGCAAATTCTGGAGAGTTGGCAAATGTGGTGAGGCTCTCAACAGCTTCGATCAGTGGTTTTGTAGCAGCTGAACAGTTCTGGCGATTTGCTTCACTTGGGTCTTGGTCAAGTGCCTTGAAACAGAAAAGTTTTTAAAATTGAGCTTCAAAAAATACAAATATAATGTTTATTCATAGCCTGAAAAAGGTTATTTGAATACTATAAAATCTTGAGTAACACAACAAAAAATGGAATTGTCACTCTCATTTAATTAAAAATATGTGAACAAATTCATAAAATCTGCAGGTACTAAAGCAAATAACTTCTGTGAAATACTTTCTTTAAAGAAAAAAAAACAGTTTCTCGTGCAATAGATATGTTTTGTTACTCATCTACTACAAATTTCACCAAGACATTTTATTAATGAATCTGGATGTTAAACAAGTATAAAAGTTTGGTCTTTGCAAAAAAAGATACTTATAAAAGTGTCAACTAATTTTTTTTATTTTGAAAACACGTTTTTACTGCATAAGAAACAGGCTCTTCACTCAAGTACTTTCTGTAATCTTTTGTGTGTGTGATAGCTTTTGCTGAGTACAATTCACGATATCAACTGTAAAATCTATAATTTACAAAATACATTTTTTTTACATTTCACCCATCTTTACAAAAGTTCTACCATAACATTTCCTTAGGACGTTTTCTGTATTCCAGTTAATATAAATAGATAATTGCAAAGAACATGTTTTAAAACATTATTACAGAATATACAAAACATATTCTTACAACTAAGGAAAAGAAAAAATTAACTGTTCTTAGTAATTTGTATGTATAGTACGTTTTTTGAAGAATATATTACACAATATTTCAGATTTTCATTATCTCTAGAAGGTAAAACATTTGATAAAACTAGACAAATAAATTTTCAATAAGTTTGAATAGTACTGTATATGTCATATGTAAAAATCACAAATTAATGAAAGGTAATCAAACAAATCTGCATTATACAAACAAATGTATTTTGAAATAATGGGTAAAAAAAACAAAACACTTATTTTCATTTTAGCTTTAATTATAAAAACAAAAACAATAAGCAGATTTTAAAATGCCAAATTGATTTCTTAATACAAATATTCAAAGTTTCTATAACTTTTGGGTAGTGAAAAATAATTTAATTTTGTTTATTATAAAATTTTACAGTAATAACCATAATTATACAAACGGTTGTGACTTATCTTTCACACGTATTATTTTTATTCTATGCTGAATTAGGGCATAATATTACTTGTGTCAGGTTTAGAAATTTTTAATGCTAATATGAAACTTTGTGCTTTATAGACGTAAGTAACGCAATAATACAATTCAAAGCAAAAACATCTTCAAAATGAATATTTTAATTTTGTCTTGTAAATATGTTTCAATTAGCCTATTAGATTATAGATTCCCTAACTTTACACAAGGAAAATGTTAGAATATAAAGACAGGTTTATTTTTTTAAAGTAGGTTTTGGTTTCAATATTTGTACTGAAATTCAGTTTTTGATATAAATACAGTGAAAAGTAAGTTTTTCCTGTATTTAATCAGTGACATTTATATCTAATATATATTTAAAGAACTTCAACTACAGTGGTTCATATCTGATATATAAAACTTGTGATATTCTTATTCCAGACAATTGTACTATCCTTTTCCGTTTACAGACTATTTACAAGATAGAACTGTGAAAGTATTGTGAGAAAACAAAAAATCTGATAGATACTTTTACATATTTGCTTTCACCTAGTAGCCAATGTTCTGCTGTAGGCTACGATGTGCTGGTCGAGATCAAAATGAATACTCAGATGTTTGTTTGTTTCAGATATTTGTGCAAATTCACACAAGGGCTATCTGCAATAGCCATTCTTAATTTTCAACTGATTGACTAGAGTGAAGGCAGATAGTCAACAGCACCTAACACTAATTATTGGGATACTTTAATTGAATAGTGAGATTTGGCTATAACTCTTATAATGTACCCATGGTCCCAAAGTGCAGATGGCAAATCATGGACCATTGGATTTACAATGTGGTATGCTAACTACTGGACCACATGTGGCTCAAACATTCAGATGAATCAAGTTTACTACAACAAAGTATTAGAAAATGGAAAGACGTAGTCGCACAAAACTAAAATCCACAATTTTAACAAACTGATTAGTTCAAAGTAAAATTTTCTTTTCAACTAAACACTAAAGGTAAAAAATTATTTAATGATGGGTATGATAAATAAACACAAAAATATACCTTAATCTCTTTGACCAAGTTAGCAGTTGCATTTGCCACCTCTTTGGCCGATTGTACAAAATGTCGTTTGGCAACAGGATTTGCAGTCTTAGAAGATGCAATTCGACAAGAATTGCACAATGATGAAGTATGTTTAGCTATAATTGTAGCTGCAGAAAGAACCTGAAGAACAAAATTTCATAATCAATTTTACATGGTATAATACCTAATAGTTAAGCTATTTAACTTGTATAATGTTAGCATACATATAGATGATGTGGCCTAATGGATAGTGCTATGAACTAAAATCAAAAGGTTGTGGATGTAAGGTTCATCCGTAACTAGTCGTTGTGTCTTTGTACAACACTTTATTCAAAATGTGCTTCAGTCTATCCAGCTGTACAATAGACATCAGCAAACAGTTGGGAGTTAACCTTCAATGAAGGTTACGGGGAAATGTGAAGACATTCTTATCTGCTTGCGCTACAGGAAACAGGAGTTAAGAACCTGCCCTATGTGCCTTTAAAACATGATATGGATTTAACTTTTAATTCAATATAGTTAGTATTAATCATATGATCCCATAATCAGAATAACTAAAAAATAATGAAAATAAAAATACACTTTTATGAGCATAAAAAACAGTTTATTGCTTAGATATAAAGACATTTTATTTAAAGCAATGTTATACTATTACAAGTTAGTGTATACCTATATAGAAACACAGTCCTTTTAGTTATATTGAAAAGGAACACAAACTCGCATAAGGCCATAGAGAAATTGTTGAGTAAGTCTCAAAGCATATTCAAAAATTAACAAAATAAATAAAAACCATACCTGCTGTTGGTTGCTAGTTTGGTTTGTTAGTTGTTGACAGGCCATTTGTATGGCTTGGCTAGCTCGTGCAAACTGTGCAAGGTCAACTAGTCCTGGTTTCCCAGCCACACTTGAGGGATCTGACACACCAACAAGGTAGGCTGCCTGGAAATATTACTGTCATCATAACTTAAGGGACTTCATGGAATTCTCATAAACCTTAATATAGAATATTAATCATTTAAAACAAAGGAGAATAGAAAATTTAAAATGTAAACAGCTAATTTAAATAAAAACCCAATTTCTTATCTTACGAACAACTATCACATACAGATTATTTGAATATATTAAAAATTTTTATGGTAACAAACGCTTGTAATACCTGAATAAAAATAAATGCAAAGTTTATAAACTTAGTCAAAACATGAAAAGGTTGAGTTAATCCTGCTATTAATCCAAACTTGTTTTGAATTACAAGGACAGCATGTGGAGAACACATTGTGTAAAATTCCTTGAAGTTCCAGACATCCCATTCTGAGATAATATTTTTACCTGAGCAGCATTTTCAATCAAACCACATATTGACTCAGAAACATCTTTGACAGCTTCACCAAATTTCTCATGTTCACTTTTCTTAGCGTAGTTTGCTATTCCAGTCATACCTTCGCCAAGGTTCTAAAAATCAGAAACAAAGTAGAAATATTATACTTGTGGAATGTTTTCACATGCTTAAGTCGAGAACATTGTTTTATCACATTTTCAAAGTTCTATAGTCAAGTAATAGATAACGCTACCTAAAAACATTTTAAGTACATTTATAAAGTTTCCATGAAGAATGAAAACTAATTTACAATAAACAAGTTTTTTCATTCTATTAGTTTCATTAAACTATAGTTACACAATAAACTCTGAATGATATAGAATTTTAGATAATTAAAAAAACACTTAAAATGTTCTTGAGTTATGGTATACTAAATCTGTAAAGCTTAATACTAGTAAACTAATAAAGAACAAACTACTGTCAAACCATAACTTCCTATGTATCACCAGGTAAAATTACCTCATACACAATATGTGACAAGCTTTAAACTGAATGTACATATACACACAGCAAAACAGTTTCTGAAAAATCTCCAACTTGTAATAATTATAAAAAAAAAGATAATCTTACTTCTTTGCGGTTCCTTAGATTTTTTCTAATTACTACTTCAAATCAACATTTTTGGGCAATTTTTTGATTATGTTTACCCCACTGGGTGGCTCTTTTAGATAACTTTACCAGGTATTATTTTTTTTGTTCCAACTAACACTTTTTTAGTGGAAACATTAATGAAATACACGTTTCCAACACTACTAATTAATTACCTTTGACTTATCCATAACATTATCTAAGCATTCAAAGTAGGAGAAATCATTGACAGCTTCAGAAGGCTTTTCTAACAATGGCCTCATCATCTGTTGATAAAAGAATTTAGATTAATAAAAACGTGTACACCATGGAAAAAATAATATCTTCAGAGATTTAACTCGTACTTTTATACTTTAACACATTAACCTGAATTACAGATGGGATACCATTAGTTTTAAAAACATGTTTCTGAATTCTTTATGCACAAAATTGCTTATGGGTCTCAAGACTTTGTTGATTACAAAGTTCCTAATAACAAATGGGTTGCAACAAAATTTACACAAAAATACTACCAATAATGCAATTAATCCCATGGTTTCTCCCATGTATTTCTTAGTTAGTTCTGAGTGTCGTCACAGGTAGGAAGATAAAAGTACTTACAATGTTGCAATCTGTGGACAATACTGGTAGTGCACAGTATAAAGACAAGTTACAGTTTAAACATTGAGAGCTGGCAAGACATTAAAAACCATTAGGCCTAAAATTTGTGATAAAAATCATGTAAATTGCAGACACTTTTTTTTTAATGCGGAACAAAAGATAGATTAGAAATGTAATTTTCATACATCTCTGATTTTGAGTCCAAAAAGAACAAACTAAGAGCAGTTCACAAATTTTAGGTCTAATAATGGTTGGAGACGGCTTGAATGGGTAATGAAGAAAAACTTTAATATAAGTAAATTACTTGTACCTGATGATGACAAAACCTTATTTGAAACGTTGTACATTTGCTGTTATGTTAAACTTAAAGTGGGTTCCTCGTCATCAAATTTTAGGTCTATTAGTATAACAACAATTCAGTAATTTGATGATTGAATAAAAAACCAACATTAATTAGTCTTTTCAACACTTTTTAGTAATCACAAAGCTTGAAATCTTGTTTACAATTGATTCATCTAAAGATTATATAAACATACAAATTAGTTAGAAAACATTGTGACCAGCAAAGAAATTAACGTAAACTTTTTTTTTTGACAAAAATTTAACAATCAAAATCATTCTTGAATTATTATATATTAATATTGACCCAACTCTTCACCTGAATGTTCCTGATGGCACTATCGCATTCCTTTTGACCTGGTGCAGCAGATGTGCAGACGTTTATCAAATGGTTGATACTTTCTGTCACAGCTCTACAATGAAAACACATTCAGAATAACACAATATAAATAACTTTATAAAATTATCTACAATAGCTTAAAGTGACTAGAATATAACAAGAGCTTGTTAAACAGTACAAGTTAACTACAAGATACTATTAAAAAAACAAACAATATACAACATAAACATTTTGAAAATAATTTACAAGACTGACTATAACAAATGAACACAAAACCAGTTTCACTAATTTGATAAGGGAATTTACTTTTGTCTTTTTATATATTGCCCTAATTAGTTTTTTGTAACAAAGTGTCAGTTACGACAGCACCTCAATCTACAAAATGAAAATGAAATTACTGTCAAAACATGGTACAAACCTTGCAGCAAGAGCTAATTGGTTCTTTGCATTAGGAGCACTTGGATCTGCAGCAACAGATTTAGCTGCTACAAGTAGCTTGCTTGACACCATGGAAACATTCTTAAGACTTACCACCATCTGCCCTCGAACTTCGGTGTCCTAGGAAAACACATCACATAATTATATCCTCAAAATGTACCATACAAAATTATTATGTACTGCATACATAAGCAAACATAATTAATTTACTTTTGAAAAAAACAACCTATGTTATTGGCATGGTTCCATTGTGAAAGCATATATTGTAAGAAATTTACAAAAATGTCTGGGAAAAAGATTCCTTCAACAAAAATAATAACTTCAGATACTTGCAACAAAATATTATGGTTCCAGAAACTTGGGTTTGTACAAAACCATATCAATATCTGTTAGTTATCTCAGTTTGTAGTTGTTTGGAATGTATTTTTTAATTATAATACAGTTTTTGACAAAGCTTGTTTGTTTCTTTTGATTTCTGCACAAATCTATTCGAGGCTATTCTATCTGTCCCTAATATAGTAGTGACAGACTAGAGGGAAGGCAGCTAGTCAAAAACCACCTACCATCAACTCTTGGGCTACTCTTTTAGCAATGAATAATGAGAATGACCATCACAGCTGAAAGGGCAAGCATACATTTGCTAAAGGGGATTCAAACCCACAACCTACAGACTGCAAGTTGAGCACCCAAACCAAGCCATGCCCTTTCGACAGAGCAATACTGCTACAAATTTTATCATTTTATATCACGACCATTATGATCCACAGGTAGGCAATAAATAGCATCTTTAGATCTCGTTTATATTATAATTTACCACAATTAACAGGTATGCAATAAACAGCATCTTTAGATCACGTTTACACTATAATTGAACACAATTAACAGGTAGGCAATAAACAGCATCTTTAGATCACGTTTACACTATAATTGAACACAATTAACAGGTAGGCAATAAACAGCATCTTTAGATCACGTTTACACTATAATTGAACATAATTAACAGGTAGGCAATAAACAGCATCTTTAGATCACGTTTACACTATAATTGAACATAATTAACAGGTAGGCAATAAACAGCATCTTTAGATCTTGTTTACATTACAATTGAAGATAATTAACAGGTAGGCAATAAACAGCATCCTTAGATCACATTTACATTTAAGTAACTTACTTTTGTCTGTCCAACAATCTCCATTCCACAATCCAGCAGATCACCAAAAGCATTGCCGAACTTTTTCGCAGAGACAGCTAACTGATTTGGTGAGCCTTTAGAAGATTCCATCACATTTCCAACTTCAATGTTCAAAGTGGCAGCAGCTGAGTTTAAGTTATTTTGAAGCTCACTGTATGATCGATTAGAGCTTGGAAACTGAGAAAAATATAAATATATATACATATTAGCCATTTAGCTATTTTTATTATTTTCTAACACTAGAAAAACAATTTCAGCATTGAATGTTTTTGGTGGGCAGAGCATAGATAGCCCATTGTGTAGCTTTGTGCTATCTAGGTTTATGCAGTGAGAATTTAAGATGTTGTTTAATGGTGTTAACTAACCTGATTATTAAACTGTTTCTAGGTAGCCAAATCTGTGTCAGCAGCTTTAAACAACTGTGTAAACTGTCTGCCTGGGCAGAGAGATGTTGATGATGCAATTCGTGGCATTACCGAAGCTACTCAAGCTCTAAATGCTCAAGAGGTATAACTTAATATATAAGTTATAACAACCTTTTGTTTTTCATACAAGTGAAGTTTAGTCATAATATGTTACCATTTTTGGTTGATTATAATAAAAATTTAAACTATTCTCATGATTGCATTATTATTAATTATAGAAGGTTTTTTGCATGTAGTATATTTTAAGCTTCAAAAAATTTGTTAAACTATTCTAGAAATGTGTTTTTCAATAGAAATTACTTTGGATTATTATTACATTTCTTAATTTATAGATCACTTTAAAGGAGTTTTACACAGGTATCGAAACCCAGTTTCTGGCATTGTAAGTATGCAGACATACTGCTGTGCCAGTGGGGGAGACTCACCTAGATAGTCTTGACATTTTACTATAATTCAGATTATACATTCGGCACTGGCTTGTAATAGATTTTTCTTTTTAAAGACAAAATGTCACAGGATAACAAGTGTCACAGTATATGTGAGAAGCCCTTTAAATTAAAACCTTCTTAAAAATACAATTTATATGGATTTGGGAGTTATCTCTAGTGTTCTGCACAAATGTTATTTCTAACAATTTTATAGTAAAAATTTGTGATTCTTGGTTACCAAAAGTCTAAAAACTAAGTTATTATTCTGAAATCTGAATCTGAAATTTGAATTACTTCAGTGAAAAAAATAAACTCAAAAAGACATAATAAAAAGACTGCCAGATCTTTTAAATTATACAGGTTTATGCAATAAGTTAGAAAACTAAATAATCTGAAATAAAAAAGTATACAGGGTTGTTCTAAATCTATAGTAAAAATCTGTCAGTCTGATCATCTTGCCTCTAGTCATCCCCATAGTATACAACTACACAGGGTAAAACCTTTGCCTCCTTTGTTGCAATTGAGTTCAAATGTAGTGAATTGCAAATAAGTTAGAATCTACAATTGACCTATGTGAGATGGTTATACGACAGGAGTTTCCACCGTGAAATTTTCCTGTTTATAGAAGCATTCAGAGCACAAAATTGTAACATGTCAAAGAAAGGACACCTGTAATATTGAATAGTATCAGTAAAGTAAAAAAAAAAAGAAGCTATTCTAAGACTGGCTACTAGCTGCACAACAGAAAGTTAAATAGCTTGGCAACAAAACTATAAACAAGATTATTCACATGGATATAAGGTCTAAAAAAGTGACAAAAAATTGTTTTCACAAACAAAAAAAAATTGTGTTCACAAACAAAAAAAAATTGTGTTCACAAACAAAAAAAATTTGCTCCAACAAGCTAAAGCTTCAGCCATAACTCCAAGTCAACATGTAAGTTCCTCTAAACGATCCAAGAATGAATGGGACTTCATGCTGTATCAACCACAGACATCTACTTGTGCCTTTAGTGGAAGTTGCTCAAGTGGAAGCCTTTGTCCAACACAGTTGATGAACTTTAGAAAGCATATAAAGAAGAGGACAACATTGACCTCCGTGTATTGTGCAAAACCTATCTGCAATTTAGAATACCAACACACAGAACACCATCAATGGCGGAAGAAGGGCTGTAAAGCCTAGGCAGTCATCCTTGTATTGTCAACATACATCATGATAATTTCTATGTACAAATGTGTATATATATAATAAACCTTGTGGAAAGTTTCTACAAATTAATTAGGGAATGAATTTGGCAAATACTTGGAACATAGGTGCAATGCAAAAAACAAATAAACAAAAGTAAAAATAAAATGAAATCCTGTAACAATACACTCACTTTAAGAGAGAAAATGTGACTTAAAACTTTACCTGGGTCAATCTCTGTGGATTTTCTGGGTTTCCAGGGTTCTGAACAGATCTTCGAGCTTCTTCAATAAGCTGAGCAGACTTGGTCATAACATCTTGAGCACTATCAATGATTTTCAACTGAATATCCTGCTCCGAAGTTGTGGCAGCCACACCTCTTACAGCTCCAGTGAGAACCTTCAGAGCATTTGCAGTATCTCTTGCTGCAATTCCTGTATAGTTTTCATTGCCCTGAAAAATATAAAACATAACTGATGACTTTAATATATTATATTTTTATTATCATATAAGTTTATAAATTAAAACAATTTAATTACACAAAATAATTTCTTTTGCAGTTAGAAACATTAGTTTAACTCTCTCGCTACAGGCTCAGTTGATTCAACCAAGCAATTGACCCCAAATTGACCTTTATAGAGTTCTCATACTATAGCTTCTAATATGCTTTGTGTATCTTCATAAAATTTCACAAGTTTTTAATAAGTGGTAAGTCATTTGTAGACAAAGAATCAGAATTTTTAACGAAGTATTTTTACTAAACATTTCTCCATGAATATATGAAGTGAAATTGTTGACTGCTCCGAATGCAAAGGGATTGTCATGTTAAGATTAAAATTACTTTTCTTTATCTGAAGAATCTCAAATTTCACTTGCATAATCCCTAAAACCTAAATAAATTTCAAATTTTTCAGTAGAACTTCATAATCTATGTGTTATTTTCTCTATCCTACCTCTATACGAAGTTGGTCAATTTGACCACAAAAAAAAAAAAAATCGAAGTAAATCTAAATTACCCTCTTTTTCTTTCTAGAATGCCTTCAAATTGTAACATGAAACTATGTTTATTTATCCTAAAGCTTTAAACTTATAAGAGTATACATTTGTTTATACTCAAATGAACTGAACTTTGAACTGTGTCTAAGTTAATATTCCTGCCAAAAATTTGTAAATCAATTGGTGAACATGGAGCTCATGATACCCTATCAACTTACATAATGCACAGGCTACTCACAAGTGTACCTTATGAAAAATTATTATTATTATAATTCATTTTACCTAATCTAACTTAGAAAATTTCTAATTTTTACATTTTAGTTACTTTTATAATA